TTTTTTAATAACTTGAAACATTTATAATCAAAAGGTATCGGGCATTCTTGTGTGAGGAAAGAAAAAAAGTAATAAAATAAAATAAAATAAATATTCTTATTTAAGAGAAGAGTCATATGAAAAAGAAAAAGAAAATCATTTAAAAAATAATAAATAATTAAATTAAAATTAATTATTTTTTATTAATAAAATAGCTTTTTATAGTGATATCTTTAAATTATATATTTTGTTTTTTTAATAATATAAAATTATTTTAAATTAAATTAATAAAATAATATTCTATTATAAACAAATAAAATATATATAAAATTATTCATTTGATTTTTGTAATAATTTTATATTTATAATTTATTAAAATAATAATTAATATCTATATATATATATATTAAAATTCAAAATATGCAAATAAATAATTAGTTATTTAAATGAAAATAATTTACAAAATAATATCTTTATTATATTTTCCTTTTCTTCGTTTATATATAAAAAGAAAATAAACATGTTAGTTACACATTTTTTATTCCTAACTTTTTTTATTATCGATTAAAAGAAATTATTATTTTTTATTAATCATTTTTACTTTACACTTTTCTTACTGATATAAATTTGATCAATTGATTATTCAATATATAAGTATATCAGTTAACACCTTTACATAATCGTTTGAATCTGGTTATGTATTAAATTCCAACTAAAACATTATTATATCGATATAATCTCAAGTATTTTTAAAAAATTACGATCAATAATTATTGAATAAGTAGAAAAACAACACGTTTATATCATGTCCAAAGTCATTTCAAAATAATTTTTTTTATTATATTCCAACTAAAACATGCTTACATCAATATAATCTAAAGTATTAAAAAAAATGCTATCAATAACTATTAAAGAAATAAAAGTACAACACGTTTACATAATGTCCAAAGTCATTTTAAAATAAATATTATTTTTATTACACTCCAACTAAAACATGATTTAATAAATGTAACGTAAAATATTTAAAGAGTCAGTGAATGCAATTAATAACTATTAAAGTAGAAAAACAACACTTTACGTCCGAAGTCATTTCAAAATAAATCCATTTTGCATTACATTCCAACTAAAACACGAATATTAAATCAATATAATTTAAAATATTTTAAAAATATGAATGCAATTAATAATTATTAAAAAAGTAGAAAAGCTAATGTTTACAATTTGTTAGTAACGAAAACAATGTTACACACAATAAAGACTATATGTTTTAGTATCAAGTTATATGGTACCCTCTCTTTTATAATTTATCAACTTTATATATAAAAATATTAATTAATAAATAAAAAATTTATAAATTATTTATATAATTAAAAATATATTTTAAATATATATATATATATATATAATTTTATATAAAAAATATTATCCACGAATTGATTTATTGACTAATTAATATGTATTTTGTATTTTAGAGGTGTGAGTTGAAATCTATAACTCGTTTTTGTGACGTATGCTTTTTACTCGTGCAAGAAATTTTCATAACGAAGTTTTTCTTATGCATAGTAAAATTTTTTCTTTTATATGTTCGAAGGGAGATGAATGGTTTCTGCAGGAAATTTTTCCTCCCATATTACATGTTCCTCATTCTTCTTTTTCTCCTTCTTCTATTGTCTAAATTTCAAGCAACGAGACTCTACTCGTGCAGGATCTGGTGAAACGAGAGAGAGCTTGAATTAAGTGGGAAGTTTAATTCATTCAATATATGAAATTGAATTGCTGGGTACCCTGTGAATAAGGAATAGAAGTAGAGATATGAATTATTTGAATGTCTGATTTTGAAGAATTTCTGATTTTGATGAACTGTTCACCGTTTGAAAGTTTTTGAAATTCTTGAAATTAAGGATGAATTATATAATAAAATTGTTGTTTTTAACTTAAATTGAACATGTTTATGGTTTAATTTTTATTTGGAACTAATTTTGGTGATTGAAACTGAGAAATTTGAAACCTGGATTTTGAAAATGGCATACTGGAGGTAATTACTATTCATATATTTGCAAAGTTTTAAATATTGATTAAATTCTTGAAATTAAGGATGAATTATATGGTGAAATTGATGTTTTCAACTTAAATTAGATATAATTCATGTTTAATTTCGATTTGGGACTAGTTTGGTTGTCTAAAACCGAGTAATTTGAAATCCGCCAAAATCTGCAAAATTCGAAACTCGTTATCGGGCGAAGGAAGAAGAAAGGGATATGGTGGGGATTTTTTAAAAAGATCAAGGGTAAAATAGTCATTTTTCATCCTAGGGACATAAATGTAATTTTGAAAATGTTCAAGGGCAAAATAGTCATTTTACATCCTAGGGACATAAATGGATTTTTTGAAAATTTTCAAGGGTAAAATAGTTATTTTTGGGACATGGAAGGAATTTTTGAAAATGTCCAAGGGCAAAATAGTCATTTTCGGGACATGGAAGGAATTTTCAAAAATGAAGATTAAGGGCAAAATAATAATTTAATGATTTCGAAAATAGTTTCAGAAATAGTTTCGGAAATAGTTTCGGAAATGATTTCGGAAATGATTTTAGAAAAAAAAAATATATAAAGAGAGAGAGAATGAAAGTAGTGTGTTGTGACGTGTGTGGGTCAGACTGAGCCTGAGGGCTGATGCCCAGAATCAGTCCTGAGACGTTATATATTGGCTAGACTGAGCCGGAGGGTTGGTGCCAGAATAAGTCAAATCCTATTTTTATTGACCCGAATGAGCCGTGAGGACAGGTGGTCCAGGATCCGGCAAATGTGAATAATTTTTTGTTATGTTTGAATGGTACCCGGGGTGGTACAAAGTACATTAATGTAATAACTATGTTGGAAGATTATGAATGAGGTCCCAGACTTCACTGATTGGTCGGGTCAGGTAGACTACGAGATCAGGTGGTGAGAAGTCGATGGAGAGATGACTGGTGGCGCGCTCGGAGGGGTACTCCAGTATGAGTCATGAAGGGTGTCAGTAATCCTACTCGTGTGGAGGGTGGTCGAATGGTACTCGCGGTACCGATCACAATGTGCCCACAGATGATAGTCTCCGAGTTCGGGCATAGTTAGGGTATACTTCCGAAGGTGTCTTAGTGTGTTGATAATTTCGTAATTGATCATAATATATAATTATTACTTCTATATCTCGTTTTATTATATCGAATGATTTAATACTTACCCCTATTTTTCCATGTGAATGGGACTGCGATGATCACTTTTATGTGGGAGCGGATGAGGAGTTGAGAGATGAAGATGTGACTACCTGGACAAGTAAGGATAGTTCGATGGGATAACTTCGAGGGAGCTACTTTTACATGTATAATATATAAATAAATTATGTTACTATATTTTAAGGTTCCGTTAGTGAACCGAATTTCAATCTATGTTACAATTACAGTAATATAATGTAAAATAGATGTCGTTATTTACTTGTTTACTACTTTGACGATTTCTAGAGTCGTTACAGCTTTAATTACGACAAATAATTTATATTATTATAATAGTTGTGAGCTAAATATACAATGAACTAAAATAGTTAGAATAACTTGATTTATCGTTTTTATTTACAATCTTTCAATATATAAAAAATTGAATTGAATGATTATGAATTATTGTAATTATATTTGTATATTTTATTATTTATTATTTATTCCTTCTTAACTTTAAATAATATGATTTATACGTGATTTTAATGTTAAAAAAACATTTTTTTTAATTTTTTATTAAGGACATTCTTCTCCTAAAACATAATTTTTATATTTAAGATTTTGGACACTTTATTCGTTATCTCTTTTATTGTGTTTTGGTCGATAATTAACTTTGTCCTTGTGGAATAGATATTTTTAGTGTCAAGTTTATTATCTCTTTCGTTATTTTGAATTTTTTTAACAATATTTTACGAGATAGGATATGGAAAGTTGACTTTATTAAATTTAAGGTGACTGGTGTAATATATATATATATTGAAAAAAATATGTTCATAATATTTTTAAATCTAAAAGAAATTTTGCAATAATACTTATAAAATATATGAGTGAAATAAAATATGAAAATTAATTTTAATAACTACACAAGTAATTTTAAATAAAAGGATATAGGTATATTTTAATAATGAGATATGATGAAAATCTTTTAAGACAAAGAAGTAAAATGAAAAATATCTTTAAAGTGAAAAAATATGATAATTTTTTTTTAAGTGAAGGAATATGATAAAATCTCATAACGACAAAAAATATACGATTACATCATAATACATAAATAATTACAATCCTCATTAGATTAAATCAATTTTAAATGATTAAATTAATTATCTTATTATATAATATCTAAGTTAATTAGAGTGATGTTACCACATAAAAAAATAAGATAAATATAATTTTTATTATATTAATATAATGAATTGTGTGTTGAGAAATTATCTGTTATTTAAAAATATAATAATAATATTATGATATATTAATAAATATAATTTTTATCAAATTAATAATTTATAATATATAAATAAATATAATCTTTACTTAATTAATAATTTATAATATATAAATAAATGTAATCTTTACTTAATTAATAATATTATGATATATATATATATATATATATATATATATATATATATATATATATAAATGATAATTTTCATCCAACCAATTTAGTTTTATAAAATTGAGTTACAAATTTCAATCAATATATTTCGTTGGAATCTTTAATTGAAATTTTTGTAACGTGAGAACCACTCACATTTAATATAAAGGTAAAAAAAAAAAATGTACAAAGACACGTGCTTGTAATATTATTGTCTTCTTATTATTAATAGAAAAGAAAAGGTCGTAGCAACGGATGCGAGTGTCAGTGTCTGAATCTCTCTCGCCACGCCTACCTCTAACTAACTCATATCATCAGTCGTTAATTCTCTCTCTCTTTCACTGTTGACTTATCATTCGTTAGTTTGTTCATTCTCGCGCAGAAGTGAAGGATTAGAAAATGAGTTGGAAGACGGTTGATGAGTTCCTGGAGCAGTGCAAGGAGTCCGGCGACGCTGCCTACGCCTCGCTGCGGTCGCTGCTGGAGCGCCTAGAGAATCCCGAGACCCGTTCTCAGGCTCGGATCTTCCTTTCCCACCTTCAGAAGCGGTTTCCCACCAAGGACTCCTGCGATCAATGCTTTCAGACCTACCATTTTCGCATCGAAGATGTTTCCCTGGGTCAATATGCAGGTATTTATTTTGGCCTTTACCTATTACGTGATAATAATAATAATTATTATTATTATTATTATATTGCTAACTAATGCATCGCATTGCAGGCCACAATGGCAGGAACAAATTGACTATGATGGTCATTCCTAGCATTTTTGTTCCCGAAGACTGGTCCTTCACTTTTTACGAAGGGATTAATAGACATCCAGACTCCATTTTCAAGGAGAGGATTGTTGCCGAGTTAGGTTGCGGAAATGGATGGATTTCCATTGCCATTGCCGAGAAATGGTTGCCTTCGAAGGTTTTCTTCATCACTCTTCTTATCTGCTAACAATTTCCCCCTCTTTTGGCTCGATCCCCAACACGTACCACTAATTTCTGCAGGTCTATGGCCTTGATATCAATCCTAGAGCGGTCAAGGTTTCCTGGATAAACTTATACTTGAATGCGTTAGATGAAAATGGCCAGCCCATCTATGACGAGGAGAAGAAAACTTTGCTTGACAGGATTGAGTTCCACGAATCTGATCTTTTATCCTATTGCAGGGAAAAAGACATTCAACTCGAAAGAATTGTCGGATGCATACCTCAGGTCATTCCACAACCATTACCTCTGTACACGCATACTGTATGCATTGTATAACTTTCATTCAGATGCAACCATCCATCTCTGTATGTTAAGCTGTTGGATGAAAGCTCATGGATGTTTTCTCAAACCCAGATGGCCTAAAACTCGAGAGGGGTTGAATTTACTTTGTAGGATTTTCATAAACTTTTGGCAAAGGGTGTGAAGGATAAGCTTACTAGACAAATATTTTTAATATAAATTATGGAATTGAACATCAGATGCTATTTTTTATTTCTGTTATTGTCGGTTTTATTAATTATTAGGTAGGGAAGGCTGATGCTTTTTACATTTACTTTTTATGGAAATCTTCATCATTTCATGGTTTATCTTATCTGGTTATTTTACTGTGTTTCTAGAAGCAGATAAAGGGGTGGTTGGTAGTTTTATCGAAAGATAATGTTGTTGATGGTGCTGGTAGCCTTTTCCAGAACTTTATAAACCAAATTATTTACAAAGTTTGACTCAACAATTATGATAGTTGGATCGATTCATGTTCCTTGTTTCATGGAATATGAACCATAATTATGGACCTGCATGAATGGTTGGCAACTATATCTTTTAGCAGTCATGGGTCTAAGGAATTTGGTCTATCCGGTGTTTGGGCATCATCATTTGATTAATACAATTTTTTCTATTGGTTGGATCCCTGCAGATTCTTAATCCAAACCCAGATGCAATGTCAAAGGTGATAACAGAAAATGCAAGCGAGGAATTCCTTCATTCATTAAGTAATTATTGTGCACTTCAGGTAAATAGGATCCTTTTTTATTGGTCACCTGCTATTTACTTGGAATGTCATTCGTGTCCTGCATGTCATCATTGTAAACGCCAAATCTGAACAACACCAATCCCAAAACAGAGGGTAAATGAAATAGAAAAATATTTTTCTTTGACGCCGTTGTTTTCCTTAACTATCTACCAACCTAGACATAATAGTTACCTCAGAGCAACTTTTATGTTTTTGTTCTAGTGATGGCTGAAGTCTTACACTATTATCACATATTAACGATTCCTATTAGTGAAGCTACAAGAATATCCTTTTTCTTTAGACATCACTTTTACCTACAAAAGTTGTCTCTAATTCACTCCATGATAGGGATTTTCGGGCAATTTAGAAATGTTTTGAATTGATAGGTTATCTGCCTATTTATAACAAGAATGCATCATTCTCACATTCTTTTTGTCTTTTGTTGCGCCTAGGGCTTTGTGGAGGACCAATTTGGCTTAGGTTTAATTGCAAGGGCAGTTGAGGAGGGGATAACAGTAATCAAACCAACTGGAATTATGATCTTTAATATGGGGGGGCGCCCAGGTCAAGGTGTTTGCAAACGATTGTTTGAGCGTCGGGGTTTTCGCCTTACAAAGCTTTGGCAAACTAAAATCATTCAGGTTAGTAACTACTCCCTCTGTCCCATACCAACAACAACAAATATATTAGTTTTTAAAATAACTTTATTAAAATAGTTTTACTCTCTCAATAAATACATTGTTTTTATTGCATCAAAGAGAAAAATTAATTTGGAGAGAAAGTAAAAATGAAAACATAAATGTTTCATTGAACTTCAATCAATTTGAAATTTTTTTAGAAAGTTAAAGCTACAGTCATTTTGAGCCAGATGTAGTATATATTTTGCTAGATGTCATTTCTCCAATGGAAGTATTATCTTATTGAGAGGTATTGGTATAGGCTGGTGATACAGATATTGCAGCTTTAGTTGAGATTGAGAAGAACAGCCCACACCGTTTTGAGTTTTTCATGGGACTTTCTGGAGATCAACCTATTTGCGCACGAACCGCGTGGGCTTATGGAAAGTCTGGTGGCAGCATTTCCCATGCTTTATCAGTATACAGTTGTCAACTTCGTCACCCTAACCAGGTGGAGTACTTTAGGAAAGCTTGTTAATTCAGTACAAGAATATCTGTTGCCTTGGAGGAAATTTGAAGCACAATGCCATTTGTATGCTGACAGGTTAAGGTTATTTTTGATTTTCTAAAACATGGATTTCAAGAGATCAGTAGCTCCCTAGATTTGTCTTTTGAGGATGATTCTGTTGCTGATGAGAAGATTCCTTTCCTTGCTTATCTTGCCCGCACACTAAAAAGTAATTCTTATTTTCCGTATGAGCCACCTGCCGGAAGCAAACATTTCCGCAATCTCATTGCAGGATTTCTGAAGACGTATCACCATATTCCACTCACTGCCAATGTAAGAATAGACTGCAATATTAATTATATAGCATTACTATAGCATTCATATACATAGCTACATATAGTATAAGATGATATCTCATATGTCGTGTCTGTAATGAAAAGTAAAAAAAAAAAATGTAATACTCTCCCTAAACTGTTCAGTTTTGCTGATAACATGTTATCTTGATCTTGTGCAAGAATATTGTCATTTTTCCTTCAAGGGCTGCAGCAATTGAGAATGCTCTTCGCTTGTTCTCACCTCGCCTTGCAGTTGTAGATGAACATCTGACCCGACACTTACCAAGGCAGTGGTTAACGTCATCGGCACTTGAGGTATGGACTAGACAAGCCTTCGTATTTTTTGAACTTGATAATATTTTGTTGTGTCTGTATTATTATCCCAATGTGTTGAAGAAATTCAATTATGTGAACAGTTGTCCTTGCTGTGAAATTTTTTCCAAAGCAATAATCATTTCTAGAAAAAGTTCCCTTGTGGAGGAACACATTTTAGAAAGAAATGCAACTGCATGCATATTCGACTTATATGCAAAACTTTCCTGACTAGAATAACTTCCTAAAAATTGCTCCTCGGAGGGGAGGGGGGCGATTTTTGCTTGTTTGAGTGGGAAAATATTTGCATATGCAATGTAGAGTCCATGTATCCACATGCAGATTCAAATGGTGCAATTGTTCCATTTATACCCGTTTGACAGCAGACAAATGTATTGTAATATAATTCTGACGTCTGCAGCCGCTTTATACATATTTTTCTTCTATTAGAATAAATTAACGTGCTGTCACTTAAGCAATTTTAGGTGGTGACCTAATATTTGCTGAATTATTGAGGGCTCATTGCACCTCATTATTGACTTTTTTAATTGAGTAGGATTCGTTGTTTTCAACTTCCCTAGAAAATGTCTTATTACTAAATAAAAATAAATATTTTACTGTGAATCTTATATTTGAATTGGTTAAAAATTGAAAAAATTGATTGGATAAATAATTTTGATCAAGTTTAAAACAATTTACCTGTAAGACCTATAATTAAATATTTAATTTTATTCATAAATAACTTTTTGTTAAAGACTCTCATTAAATATTTTTTTACTTTTGTTAAAGACTCTCATTAAATATTTTCTTACTTAATTTTATTTGTTGATACAATAAATAGTCATATTTAGTCTAACATGTTTTAAGAGTTAAATAAAAAAATTAATAACTTATATCTTAAAGTAATTATAATTTTTTGTCTAACCTTAGATTAATGAATTAATAGAATTTTGATTTAATTAAATTTTTTATAAAAATAATAGCAAATTTACATTAAAATAATTAATTTAAAAATATTTAAATAAAAAAAGTTATATTAATGTAATTAATTTTTATATCAAATATAATAATTTAATATATAAATTATAAAAAATAATATTTATCTATTTTTTAAAATTGTTTTAGTAATACATTGATTTAAAATAATAATATTTTTAATCATTAAATTATAAATAATTGAAGATTAGAGATTTTTTCTTATATTTATTCTTATAATAAATGAATTCATTAATCAAATTAATTTATAATATATATATATTTTTTAATAAAATAATATTATTTTTATTTTAAAAATAATTATTATTTATAAAACATGTTTACTCGTTAACATCCCAGTTTCCTCCACGTAGATATGATTTAAATGACATAAATCTAATTCAATTTATGTCTTTATCTAACATCCCAGTGGAGATATGATTTAAATGACATATCTAATTCAATTTATGTCTTTATCTAGTATAACTTATTTCATCCACCTTTCAGCCGATGTAGGACTACTTTGACACACTGGTTATTTGCGTGTCTTCAACACTCACGCCCTTCCTTTCTTGGTGTGTATTAACCTTTTACCGATAGCGGCGTGGTTCTAAAACTTGAGGGTTTCTTGCATTGAAAATATGTAAAATTGAATTTTTTTTTTCTTCATGGTGATAACGATTAGGGTTGATTATTGCATTTTCCATAACAATTTTTTATCTTTCTAGTAGAGCTCAGGAACTATCGACTCTTTAGATTATACCATTATGGTAATTGAAGCCCCTCGGCAGTCAGACTTAATGATAGAACTAATAAAGAAGTTGAAGCCCGAAGTGGTGGTTACTGGGATTGCTCATTTTGAGGCTGTTACTAGTTCAGCTTTTGTGCACCTATTAGATACAACCCGGGACATTGGATCTCGTCTTTTCTTGGACATATCAGATCACTTTGAGCTATCCAGCCTTCCTGGATCGAATGGGGTCCTGAAGTATCTTTCAGGAACTCCTCTTCCTTCTCATGCAGCAATTATATGTGGACTGGTAAAGAATAAGGTAATATTCCCTATTCCGTTAACTTGGCTCACTTAGTCCATATGGTAGACTTGTGTTTTGGCTTGATATCAACAATTTCTTATTGATAGCACCGACATAACGCATGTTTTACAGGTTTATCCAGATTTAGAAGTAGCTTTCGTTATTTCGGAAGAAGAAACCCTTTTTAACGCCCTGTCCAAAACTATTGAACTACTGGAGGGAAATACTTCATTAATTAGTCAGTACTATTATGGCTGTATTTTTCACGAGCTTCTTGCTTTTCAGCTTGCTGGCCGGCATGCACCTGCCAAGGTCCGTCTCTTTACTTGCCTCTAAGCTTAAAAGTTGTTGAAGTTGCTTTGTCTCTTCCCAAATTCATACTAGAAATTGTGTTTGAGACTACCATGGACATCAGGATCTGAATTTAGCTATTAGAGGACTAAATAGAGTGTTATATGCTAATCTTTGCTTCAATAGGAAAAAGGGACAACCGATGTTCTATACCAGATTGATTTCATTCTCCAAGACATTAGAAATTTCTGGGACAGTTTAGATAAACATTATCTGCAACTTTTTTTAAATTTGATATTTATCTACGAAGTTACGTGACTTGATTATTGGGTCAGAGATACCAGATTGACATCGGAAAGCATACTATGCCTTTTTAAACTTTCTAGTTCTTTGTGTTTTGATAACTATTATTTGCAAGTTCCTTGTTGCTTGAAAGGGAGTATTCGGTGAAAATCAATCCTAATATTATGACGTGAAGTTATCAGTTGTTCATAAATTAGTCAATTCCCATATTAAGTTTTCTTAACACTTAAATATAACTCCTGTCCATTTCAGAGAAACTTTGAGGATGTCAAATCAGTTGATATGATAGGATTTTCTAAATCAGCCTCATTGATACTTAACAATGCTGAATTATCTATCGATGGGGTAGAGAATGGGTCCCTGATCCACATGGACGTCGATCAAATCTTCTTGCCAGTTCCATCTTCTGTTAAGGCAGCTATTTTTGAAAGTTTTGCTAGACAAAACATGTCTGAGTCTGAAACTGATGTCAGAGCAAGCATCAAAGGATTTGTCAAGAGCAACTATGGTTTTCCAACTGATAACAGCACAGAATTTATATATGCTGACAATTCAAAAGCTCTTTTCAACAAGCTGGTCCTCTGCTGCATCAATGAAGGTGGCACTCTCTGCTTTCCAGCTGGATCAAATGGGAACTATGTTTCTTCTGCAAGATTCTTGAAAGCTGACATAGTGACAGTACCAACAGATGTCAAAGAAGGTTTTAAGTTAACGGAGAAGACACTCACTGGAGTCCTTGGGACTGTGAAAAACCCATGGGTGTATATTTCCGGTCCTACTGTCAATCCAACTGGCTTAATTTATAGCAACAATGAGATGGTAGAAATTTTAAGCACTTGTGCTATATTTGGTGCAAGAGTTGTAATAGATACTGCTTCCTCCGGTTTGGAATTTGACTGTGAAGGCTGGGGTGTCTGGGATATAGAGGGGTGTTTGTCTAGGCTGAATTCTTCAATCAAGCCATCGTTTTGTGTGTCTCTTCTTGGCGGACTGTCTCTGAAGATGCTCAATGGTGTTCTCAGATTTGGCTATCTTATTCTAAACGAGCCTGTTTTGGTTGACACATTTTATAGCTATCCAGGATTAAGCAAACCTCATATTACTGTTAGATATGCTACAAAGAAATTGCTGGAGCTTAGAGAGCAAAAACCATCAAACCTATCAGATACTATCGTTGAACACACCCAGATATTGAGAACTAGAGCCAAGTGTTTGAAACAGGTGATCTTGACGGCTAAATTTTTTTTGCTTTAATTTTATTTTACTTTATCTGTATATTCATGGTTGTAATCCTTTTTTTTTTTTCCTTTTGTTTAAAGAATGCTAATATTTTTTTGGCGGTTATTACCCTAGGTTCTTGAGAAAAATGGATGGGATGTGCTCGAATCGTGTGCAGGTGTGTCTGTTGTGGCCAAGCCCTCTGCCTATCTCAATAAGACTGTTAAGCTGAAGATTTCACCAAAAGGTGAAGGAAGCCACGAAAGTGCCACTGAGGAAGTAAAGCTGGACGACTCTAATATTAGGACTGTCATTCTCAAAGCCACAGGATTATGCATCAATAGCGGGTCATGGACTGGAATTCCTGGATACTGTCGTTTTAATATTGCGCTCGAAGAAAGTGATTTCAAAAAAGCTTTGGATTGCATTCAGAAATTTAGAGAAGTCACACTGGGTTAAAACCTCTGTCATTGGTACACATATGTTGTTCTTACATGCTCGCCCTCGCTGCATGTCATTCTTTTGATCTTTTCGTTTCACTCTTTGGAGGTAAGTTTTTTATCCCTCCTATATGCACGATCTAACAAACATAATTGATCTTTCATAATCTGATTGCGCAATAATGTGTTGCGATGTAAACATTCTCAGTTCAAGTTACGATATAATTGTTTTCTCCACTGTACCCAGTTTTTAAGAACTATTCATCTAACAACATATTATCCCCGCCTCCACATGAATGTTCGTCTATTTTCCGTTTGTTTGGTTTAAATTCACCGAGAAAAACAAATCAGTCAAAGATTTAAAAACTAGTAATCAATTCTTAACGAATCAATTGAAAATGTTTAATATGTAATTTTATCTTTATCATAAATTTTGTCACTCTATATTTTTGCTAATATACACTTTTTGTGTATTTTTCAAGTTATAAGAAATTCTAAAAAGCTATTTTATATTTAATTTTTGTATTATAAAAATAAGATATTATGTGTTTAATTTTTCTATAAACGCTTGGAGAAAGAGTTTCGATATATAAGAATATCTCCTACAATCTTCTGTTTGTAGAATGAATTTTAAAGTTTTTAAGAAATTCAAATATACCTAATTGTTCTCATTTAAATTTATTTAATATTTAAATATTTTGTTTGGATAATATATTTTAAATTTTTTAATTATATATATATATACATATATTTTGGTAGAGTATTTAAGTTATTATTAACTATAAATAAAAAATATATCTCTATTAAAAATATTAAAATAGACTTATAGGTCAACCCAAAAAAATATGAAAAATAAACTAGATTAAAATTGTGTGTTAACTCTTCGGTAAATAAAGATAAAATCTTCGGTAAATAAAGAATAACTCTTGGTAAATATCTTCGATGAATCGTTCAACAAATAAAGAGTAACTCTTCGGTAAATAAAGAATAACTCTTTAGTAAATAAAGAGTAACTCTTAGTAAATATCTTCGATAATCGTTCAGTAAATAAAGAGTAATTATTCGGTAAATAAAGAGTAACTCTTAGGTAAATAAGGAATAACTCTTCAATAAATAAAGAGTAATTGTAAATAAAAAGTAACTCTTCAATAAATAAAGAGTAATTTTTCGGTAAATAAAGAATAACTCTTCGATAAATATAGAGCAACTCTTAGTAAATATCTTCGATAATCGTTCAGTAAATAAAGAGTAACTCTTCGGTAAATAAAGAGTAACTCTTCGATAAATAAAGAATAACTCTTCGATAAATAAAGAGTAACTCTTAGAAAATATCTTCAGCAACTGTTCAGTAAATAAAGAGTCACTCATTGGTAAATAAAGAGTAACTCTTCGGTAAATAAAGAGTAACTCTTTGGTAAATAAAGAATAACTCTTCAGTAAATAAAGTGTAACTCTTAGTAAATATCCTGAGTAACTATTCAGTAAATAAAGAGTAAATCTTCGGTAAATAAAGAGTAACTTTTCGGTAAATAAAGAATAACTTTTGAGTAAATAAAGAGTAACTCTTATTAAATATCTTCAGTAACTGTTCAGTAAATAAAGAATAACTCTTCGGTAAATAAAGAGTAATTCTTCGGTAAATAAAGAATAACTCTTCAGTAAATAAAGAGTAACTCTTAGTAAATATCTTCAGTAACTGTTCAGTAAATAAATAGTAACTCTTCGGTAAATAAAGAGTAACTCTTTGGTAAATAAAGAATAACTCTTCAGTAAATAAAGAGTAACTCTTAGTAAATATCTTCAGTAACTGTTCAGCAAATAAAGAGTAACTCTTTGGTAAATAAAGAGTAACTCTTCGGTAAATAAGGAATAACTCTTCAGTAAATAAAGAGTAACTCTTAGTAAATATCTTCAGTAACAGGCCAGTAAATAAAGAGTAACTATTTGGTAAATAAAGAGTAACTTTTCGGTAAATAAAGAATAACTCTTCAGTAAATAAAGAGTAACACTAAGTAAATATCTTCAGTAACTGTTTAGTAAATTAAGAGTAACTCTTCGGTAAATAAAGAGTAACTCTTCGGTAAATAAAGAATAACTCTTCAGTAAATAAAGAGTAACTCTTAGTAAATATCTTTACTAACTGTTCAGTAAATAAAGAGTAACTCTTCGGTAAATAAAGAGTAACTCTTCAGTAAATAAAGAATAACTCTTCAGTAAATAAAGTATAACTCTTAGTAAATATCTTGAGTAACTATTCAGTAAATAAAGAGTAACTCTTTGGTAAATAAAGAGTAACTCTTCAGTAAATAAAGAATAACTCTTCAGTAAATTAAGAGTAACTCTTAGTAAATATCTTCAGTAATTGTTCAGCAAATAAAGAGTAACTCTTCGGTAAATAAAGAGCAACTTTTCGGTAAATAAAGAATAACTCTTTAGTAAATAAAGAGTAACTCTTAGTAAATATCTTGAGTAACTGTTCAGTAAATAAAGAGTAACTCTTCGGTAAATAAAGAGTAACTCTTCAGTAAATAAAGAATAACTCTTCAGTAAATAAAGACTAACTCTTAGTAAATATCTTCAGTAACTGTTCAGCAAATAAAGAGTAACTCTTCGGTAAATAAAGAACAACTATTCGGTAAATAAAGAGTAACTCTTCGGTAAATAAAGAATAACTCTTCAGTAAATAAAGTGTAACTCTTAGTAAATATCGTGAGTAACTATTCTGTAAATAAAGAGTAACTCTTCGGTAAATAAAGAGTAACTCTTCGGTAAATAAATTATAACTCTTAGTAAATTAAGAGTAACTCTTCGTAAATATCTTCAGTAACTTTTCAGTAAATTAAGAGTAACTCTTTGGTAAATAAAGAGTAACTCTTCGGTAAATAAAGAATAACTATTCAGTAAATAAAGAGTCACTCTTTGGCAAATAAAGAGTAACTCTTCGGTAAATAAAGAGCAACTCTTCGGTAAATAAAGAGTAACTCTTCGGTAAATAAAGAATAACTCTTCAGTAAATAAAGTGTAACTCTTAGTAAATATCATGAGTAACTATTCAGTAAATAAAGAGTAACTCTTCGGTAAATAAAGAGTAACTCTTCGGTAAAGAAATTATAAGTCTTCAGTAAATTAAGAGTAACTCTTAGTAAATATCTTCAGTAACTTTTCAGTAAATTAAGAGTAACTCATTGGTAAATAAAGAGTAACTCTTCGGTAAATAAAGAATAACTCTTCAGTAAATAAAGAGTAACTCTTAGTAAATATCTTCAGTAACTGTTCAGTAAATAAAGAGTCATTCTTTGGCAAATAAAGAGTAACTCTTCAGTAAATAAAGAGCAACTCTTCGGTTAATCAAGAGTAACTCTTCTGTAAATAAAGAATAACTCTTCAGTAAATAAAGTGTAACTCTTAGTAAATATCTTGAGTAACTATTCAGTAAATAAAGAGTAACTCTTCGGTAAATAAAGAGTAACTCTTTAGTAAATAAAGAATAACTCTTCAGTAAATAAAGAGTAACTCTTAGTAAATATCTTCAGTAACTGTTCAACAAATAAAGAGTAATTCTTCGGTAAATAATGAGTAACTCTTTGGTAAATAAAGAATGACTCTTCAGTAAATAAAGAGTAACTCTTAGTAAATATCTTCAGCAACTGTTCAGTAAATAAAGAGTAACTCTTCGGTAAATAAAGAGTAACTCTTCGGTAAATAAAGAGTAACTCTTCAGTAAATAAAGAATAACTCTTTAGTAAATAAAGAGTAACTCTTAGTACATATCTTCAATAACTGTTCAGTAAATAAAGAGTCACTCTTCGGTAAATAAAAGGTAACTCTTTGGTAAATAAAGAATAACTCTTCAGTAAATAAAGAGTAACTCTTAGTAAATATATTCAGTAACTGTTCAGTAAATAAAGAGTAACTTTTTGGTAAATAAAGAGTAACTCGTTGGTAAATAAAGAATAACTCTTCAGTAAATAAAGAGTAACTCTTAGTAAATATCTTTAGTAACTCTTGTGTAAATAAAGAGTAACTCTTCGGTAAATAAAAAGTAACTCTTCGGTAAATAAAGAATAACTCTTCGATAAATAAAGAGTAACTCTTAGTAAATATCTTCGATAAGCTATTCAAGTAAAGAAAGAGTAACTCTTCGATAAATAAAGAGTAACTCTTCGGTAAATAAAGAATAACTCTTCGATAAATAAAGAGTAACTCTTTGGTAAATAAAGAGTAACTCTTCGGTAAATAAAGAATAACTCTTTAGTAAATAAAGAGGAACTCTTAGTAAATATCTTTAGTAACTGTTCAGTAAATAAAGAGTCACTCTTCAGTAAATAAAGAGTAACTCTTCGGTAAATAAAGAGTAACTCTTCAGTAAATAAAGAGTAACTCTTCAGTAAATAAAGAGTAACTCTTAGTAAATATCTTCAGTAACTGTTCAGTATATAAAGAGTAACTCTTCGGTAAATAAAGAGTAACTCTTCGGTAAATAAAGAATAATTCTTCAGTAAATAAACAGTAACTCTTAGTAAATATCTTGAGTAACTGTTCAGTAAATATAGAGTAACTCTTTAGTAAATAAAGAATAACTCTTCAGTAAATAAAGACTAACTCTTAGTAAATATCTTCAGTAACTGTTCAGCAAATAAAGAGTAACTCTTCAGTAAATAAAGAATAACTCTTCAGTAAATAAAGAGTAACTCTTAGTAAATATCTTCAGTAAATGTTCAGCAAATAAAAAGTAACTCTTCTGTAAATAAAGAGTAACTCTTCGGTAAATAAAGAGTAACTCTTCGGTAAATAAAACATAACTCTTCAGTAAATAAATAGTAACTATTAGTAAATATCTTCGATATCTGTTCAGTAAATAAAGAGTAACTCTTCGGTAAATAAAGAGTAACTCTTCGATAAATAAAGAATAACTATTCGGTAAATAAAGAGTAACTCTTAGTGAATATCTTCAGTAACTGTTCAGTAAATAAAGAGTAACTCTTCGGTAAATAAAGAGTAAATCTTCGGTAAATAAAGAATAACTCTTCAGTAAATAAAGAGTAACTCTTAGTAAAAATCTTCAGTAACTATTCAGTAAAGAAAGAGTAAGTCTTCGGTATATAAAGAGTAAATCTTCAGTAAATAAAGAATAACTCTTCAGTATATAAAGAGTAACTCTTAGTACATATCTTCAGTAACTGTTCAGTAAATAAAGAGTCACTCTTCGGTAAATAAAGGGTAACTCTTCGGTAAATAAAGAATAACTCTTCAGTAAATAAAGAGTAACTCTTAGTAAATATCTTCAGTAACTGTTTAGTAAATAAAGGGTAACTGTTCGGTACATAAAGAGTAACTCTTCGGTAAATAAAGAATAACTCTTCAGTAAATAAAGCGTAACTCTTAGTAAATATATTTAGTAACTATTGAGTAAATAAAGAGTAACTCCTCAGTAAATAAAGAGTAACTCTTTGGTAAATAAAGAATAACTCTTCAGTAAATAAATAGTAACTCATAGTAAATATTTTCTGTTCAATATATAAAGAGTAACTCTTCGGTAAATAAAGAGTAACTCTTCGGTAAATAAAGAATAACTCTTCAGTAAATAAACAATAACTCTTAGTAAATATCTTCAGTAACTATTCAGCAAATAAAGAGTAACTTTTCGGTAAATAAAGAGCAACTCTTCGGTAAATAAAGAGTAACTCTTCGGTAAATAAAGAATAACTGTTCAGTAAATAAAGTGTAAGTCTTAGTAAATATCATGAGTAACTATTCAGTAAATAAAGAGTAACTCTTCGGTAAATAAAGAGTAACTCTTTGGTAAACAAATTATAGCTCTTCATTAAATTAAGAGTAACTCTTAGTAAATATCTTCAGTAACTTTTCAGTAAATTAAGAGTAACTCTTTGGTAAATAAAGAGTAACTCTTCGGTAAATAAATAATAACTCTTCGGTACATAAAGAGTAACTCTTAGTAAATATCTTTAGTAACTGTTCAGTAAATAAAGAGTCACTCTTTGGCAAATAAAGAGTAACTCTTCGGTAAATAAAGAGCAACTCTTCGGTAAATAAAGAGTAACTCTTTGGTAAATAAAGAATAACTCTTCAGTAAATAAAGTGTAACTCTTAGTAAAGATCTTGAGTAACTATTCAGTAAATAAAGAGTAACTCTTCGGTAAATAAAGAGTAACTCTTCAGTAAATAAAGAATAACTCTTCAGTAAATAATGAGTAACTCTTAGTAAATATCTTCAGTAACTGTTCAGCAAATAAAGAGTAACTCTTCGGTAAATAAAGAGTAACTCTTCGGTAAATAAAGAATGACTCTTCAGTAAATAAAAAGTAACTCTTAGTAAATATCTTCAGCAACTGTTCAGTAAATAAAGAGTAACTCTTCGGTAAATAAAGAGTAACTCTTCGGTAAATAAAGAGTAACTCTTCAGTAAATAAAGAATAACTCTTTAGTAAATAAAGAGTAACTCTTAGTACATATCTTCAATAACTGTTCAGTAAATAAAGTGTCACTCTTTGGTAAATAAACGATAACTCTTCAGTAAATAAAGAATAACTCTTCAGTAAATAAAGATTAACTCTTAGTAAATATATTTAGTAACTGTTCAGTAAATAAAACGTAACTTTTTGGTAAATAAAGAGTAACTCTTTGGTAAATAAAGAATAACTCTTCAGTAAATAAAGAGTAACTCTTAGTAAATATCTTTAGTAACTCTTGTGTAAATAAAGAGTAACTCTTCGGTAAATAAAGAGTAACTCTTAGGTAAATAAAGAATAACTCTTCAGTTAATAAAGAGTAACTCTTAGTAAATATCTTCAGTAACTGTTCAGTAAAGAAAGAGTAACTCTTCGGTAAATAAAGAGTAACTCTTCGGTAAATAAAGAATAACTGTTCAGTAAATAAAGAGTAACTCTTTGGTAAATAAAGAATAACTCTTCGGTAAATAAAGAATAACTCTTCAGTAAATAAAGAGTAACTCTTAGTAAATATCTTCAGTAACTGTTTAGTAAATAAAGAGTAACTCTTCGGTAAATAAAGAGTAACTCTTCGGTAAATAAAGAATAACTCTTCGGTAAATAAAGAGTAACTCTTTGGTAAATAAAGAATAAATCTTCTGTAAATAAAGAGTAACTCTTTGGTAAATAAAGAGTAACTCTTCAGTAAATAAAGAATAACTCTTCAGTACATAAAGAGGAACTCTTAGTAAATATCTTTAGTAACTGTTCAGTAAATAAAGAGTAACTCTTCAGTAAATAAAGAGTAACTCTTCGGTAAATAAAGATTAACTCTTCGGTAAATAAAGAGTAACTCTTCAGTAAATAAAGAGTAACCCTTAGTAAAATCTTCAGCAACTATTCAGTATATAAAGAGTAACACTTCGGTAAATAAAGAGTAACTCTTCGGTAAATAAAGAATAATTCTTCAGTAAATAAACAGTAACTCCTAGTAAATATCTTCCGTAACTATTCAGCAAATAAAGAGTAACTCTTCGGTAAATAAAGAGCAACTCTTACGTAAATAAAGAGTAACTCTTTGGTAAATAAACAATAACTCTTCGATAAATAAAGTGTAACTCTTAGTAAATATCTTGAGTAACTATTCGATAAATAAAGAGTAACTCTTCGGTAAATAAAGAGTAACTCTTCGATAAATAAAGAGTAACTCTTAGTAAATATCTTCGATAACTCGTTCAGCAAATAAAGAGTAACTCTTCGGTAAATAAAGAGTAACTCTTCGGTAAATAAAGAATAACTCTTGAGTAAATAAAGAGTAACTCTTAGTAAATATCTTCAGTAACTGTTCAGTAAATAAAGAGTAATTCTTCAGTAAATAAAGAATAACTCTTTAGTAAATAAAGAGTAACTCTTAGTAAATATCTTCAGTAACTGTTCAGCAAATAAAGAGTAACTCTTCGGTAAATAAAGAGTAACTCTTCGGTAAATAAAGAATAACTCTTCAGTAAATAAAAAGTAACTCTTAGTAAATATATTCAGTAACTGTTCAGTAAATAAAGAGTAACTCTTTGGTAAAAAAAGAGTAACTCTTCCGTAAATAAAAAATAACTCTTCAGTAAATAACAAGTAACTCTTAGTAAATATCTTCAGTAACTGTTCAGTAAATAAAGAGTAACTCTTTGGTAAATAAAGAGTAACTCTTCAGTAAATAAAGAATAACTATTCGAGTAAATAAAGAGTAACTCTTAGTGAATATCTTCGATAACTCGTTCATTAAATAAAGAGTAACTCTTCGGTAAATAAAGAATAACTCTTCGAGTAAATAAAGAGTAACTCTTAGTACATATCTTTGGTAAGCTGTTCGATAAATAAAGAGTAACTCTTCGGTAAATAAAGGGTAACTCTTCGGTAAATAAAGAATAACTCTTCAGTAAATAAAAAGTAACTCTTGGTAAATATCTTCAGTAACTATTCAGTAAATAAAGAGTAACTCTTCGGTAAATAAAGAGTAACACTTTGGTAAATAAAGAATAACTCTTCAGTAAATAAAGAGTAACTCTTTGGTAAATAAAGAGTAACTCTTCAGTAAATAAAGAGTAACTCTTAGTAAATATCTTCAGTAACTGTTCAGCAAATAAAGAGTAACTCTTCGGTAAATAAAGAGTAACTCTTCGGTAAATAAAGAATAACTCTTCGATAAATAAAGAGTAACTCTTAGTAAATATCTTCGATGAATCGTTCGAGTAAATAAAGAGGAACTCTTCGGTAAATAAAGAATAACTCTTTAGTAAATAAAGACTAACTCTTACGAAATATCTTCGATAATCGTTCAGCAAATAAAGAGTAACTCTTCGATAAATAAAGAATAACTCTTCGATAAATAAAGAGTAACTCTTAGTAAATATCTTCGATGAATTGTTCAGCAAATAAAGAGTAACTCTTCGGTAAATAAAGAGTAACTCTTCGGTAAATAAAGAATAACTCCTCTGTAAATAAAAAGTAACTCTTAGTAAATATCTTCGATGAATCGTTCGATAAATAAAGAGTAACTCTTTGGTAAATAAAGAGTAACTGTTCAATAAATAAAGAATAACTATTCAGTAAATAAAGAGTAACTCTTAGTGAATATCTTCAGTAACTGTTCATTAAATAAAGAGTAACTCTTCGGTAAATAAAGAATAACTCTTCAGTAAATAAAAAGTAAATCTTAGTAAATATCTTCAGTAACTGTTCAGTAAATAAAGAGTAACTCTTCGGTAAATAAAGAGTAACACTTTGGTAAATAAATAATAACTCTTCAGTAAATAAAGAGTAACTCTTAGTAAATATCTTCTGTAACTATTTAGTAAAGAAAGAGTAACTCTTCGTTATATAAATAGTAATTCTTCGGTAAATAAAGAATAACTCTTCAGTAAATAAAGAGTAACTCTTAGTACATATCTCTGGTAACTGTTCAGTAAATAAAGAGTTACTCTTCGGTAAATAAATGGTAGCTCTTCGGTAAATAAAGAATAACTCTTCAGTAAATAAAGAGTAACTCTGAGTAAATATCTTTAGTAACTGTTCAGTAAATAAAGATTAACTCTTCGGTAAATAAAGAATAACTATTCAGTAAATAAAGAGTAACTCTTAGTAAATATCTTCCATAACTGTTCAGTAAATAAAGAGTAACTCTTCGGTAAATAAAGAGTAACTCTTCGGTAAATAAAGAGTTCTTAGTACATATCTTCAGTAACTGTTCAGTAAATAAAGAGTCACTCTTCGGTAAATAAAGGCTAACTCTTCGGTAAATAAAGAATAACTCTTCAGTAAATAAACAGTAACTCTTAGTAAATATCTTCAGTAACTGTTCAAGAAATAAAGATTAACTCTTCGGTAAATAAAGAGTAACTCTTCGGTAAATAAAGAATAACTCTTCAGTAAATTAAGAGTAACTCTTAGTAAATATCGTCAGTAACTTTTCAGTAAATTAAGAGTAACTCTTTGGTATATAAAGAGTAACTCTTCAATAAATAAAGAATAACTCTTCAGTAAATAAAGAGGAACTCTTTGTAAATATCTTCAGTAACTGGTCAGTAAATAAAGAGTCACTCTTTGGTAAATAAAGAGTAACTCTTCGGTGAATAAAGTGTAACTCTTCGGTAAATAAAGAGTAACTCTTCGGTAAATAAAGAATAACGCTTCGATAAATAAAGAGTAACTCTTCGATAAATAAAGAGTAACTATTCGATAAATAAAGAGTAACTCTTAGTAAATATCTTCGATAATCGTTCAGTATATAAAGAGTAACTCTTCGGTAAATAAAGAGTAACTCTTCGGTAAATAAAGAATAACTCTTCAGTAAATAAACAGTAACTCTTAGTAAATATCTTCAGTAACTGTTTAGCAAATAAAGAGTAACTCTTCGATAAATAAAGAGCAACTCTTCGGTAAATAAAGAGTAACTCTTTGGTAAATAAAGAATAACTCTTCAGTAAATAATGTGTAACTCTTAGTAAATATATTGAGAGTAACTATTCAGTAAATAAAGAGTAACTCTTCGGTAAATAAAGAGTAACTCTTCAGTAAATAAAGATTAACTCTTTAGTAAATAAAGAGTAACTCTTAGTAAATATCTTCAGTAACTTTGTAGCAAATAAAGAGTAACTCTTCGGTAAATAAATAGTAACTCTTCGGTAAATAAAGAATAACTCTTCAGTAAATAAAGAGTAACTCTTAGTAAATATCTTCAGTAACTGTTCAGTAAATAAAGAGTAACTCTTTAGTAAATAAAGAATAACTCTTCAGTAAATAAAGACTAACTATTCAGTAAATAAAGAGTAACTCTTAGTGAATATCTTCAGTAACTGTTCATTAAATAAAGAGTAACTCTTCGGTAAATAAAGAATAACTCTTCAGTAAATAAAGAGTAACTCTTAGTACATATCTTTGGTAACTGTTCAGTAAATAAAGAGTTACTCTTCGGTAAATAAAGGGTAACTCTTCGGTAAATAAAGAGTAACTCTTCAGTAAATAAAAAGTAACTCTTAGTAAATATCTTCAGTAACTGTTCAGTAAATAAAGAGTAACTCTTCGGTAAATAAAGAGTAACTCTTTGGTAAATAAAGAATAACTCTTCAGTAAATAAAGAGTAACTCTTAGTAAATATCTTCAGTAACTATTCAGTAAAGAAAGAGTAACTCTTCGGTATATAAAGAGTAATTCTTCGGTAAATAAAGAATAACTCTTCAGTAAATAAATAGTAACTCTTAGTACATATCTTTGGTAACTATTCAGTAAATAAAGAGTTACTCTTCCGTAAATAAAGGGTAGCTCTTCGGTAAATAAAGAATAACTCTCCAGTAAATAATGAGTAACTCTTAGTAAATATCTTCAGTAACTGTTTAGTAAATAAAGAGTAACTCTTCAGTAAATAAAGAATAACTCTTCAGTAAATAAAGAGGAACTCTTTGTAAATATCTTTAGTAACTATTCAGTAAATAAAAAGTCACTCTTCGGTAAATAAAGAGTAACTCTTCGGCAAATAAAGAGTAACTCTTCGGTAAATAAAGAGTAACTCTTCAGTAAATAAAGATTAACTCTTAGTAAATATCTTCAGTAACTATTCAGTATATAAAGAGTAACTCTTCGGTAAAAAAAGAGTAACTCTTCGGTAAATAAAGAATAACTCTTCAGTAAATAAACAGTAACTCTTAGTAAATATCTTTAGTAACTGTTCAACAAATAAAAAGTATCTCTTCGGTATATAAAGAGCAACTCTTCGGTAAATAAAGAGTAACTCTTTGGTATATAAAGAATAACTCTTCAGTAAATAAAGAGTAACTCTTAGTACATATCTTTGGTAACTGTTCAGTAAATAAAGAGTTACTCTTCGGTAAATAAAGGGTAGCTCTTCGGTAAATAAAGAATAACTCTTCAGTAAATAAAGAGTAACTCTTAGTAAATATCTTCACTAACTGTTCAGTAAATAAATATTAACTCTTCGGTAAATAAAGAATAACTATTCAGTAAATAAAGAGTAACTCTTAGTAAATATCTTCCGTAACTGTTCAGTAAATAAAGAGTAACTCTTCGGTAAATAAAGAGTAACTCTTCGGTAAATAAAGAGTAACTCTTCGGTAAATAAAGAGTTCTTAGTGTTAGAAAAGTAGTTTTAAATCAAGAGGGGGGGGGGGGTGAATTGATTTTTGAAAGTTTTTCGCAATAAACAGATTATCTAATTCGAAAATTAAGTTTACTAATCAATTCACGAATCACAAAGCAATTAAACAATACAAGCGCAACAACTGAAATTAAAGAGAGAAAGGTTAGGAAAGATTTCACCGGTAATTTTATACTGGTTCACCCAATACCAGGGCTACGTCCAGTCTCCAGCCAAATTCCAGCTGGGTTCCACTAGAATAGATGTTTTACGGACTCAACAATCTTACACCTACTCTAACACCGAACCAATTTCCAGTTCCGACTTTAACCTTTCCACCAAGAACCAAATTCCAGTTCTTGGAAACCTCTCGCAACCAAATTCCAGCTAGCGAGAGAAACCAGTACCCAAATTCCAGGCACCACACAGTACAAGAACCAAATTCCAGTTCCTGCACTTAACCTCTCCACCAAGAACCAAATTCCAGCTCTTGATAACCTCTGCAACCAAATTCCAGCTGCAGAGAAACCAGTACCCAAATTCCAGGCACCACACAGTACAAGAACCAAATTCCAGTTCCTGCACTTAACCTCTCCACCAAGAACCAAATTCCAGTTCTTGGAAACTTCTACAACCACCTACCAGCTGCAGAAAGCTTGTACCCAAATTCCAGGCACAACACAATACAAAGTAATGAAAAAGAATTTACAAAGAAGAGACTTAGAAAGCTCAAACCGGATTACTCTAATCCACAGTAAGTTTCTTCTTCACATAATGCAATATGCCTCAAGAAAGATTTCAAAAGAAGTTCA